CTCTTCACTTCCATTAGTGAAAGTACTAGTTTACAAATTTGGGTGTATCATTTCTGCAAGACAATGCAAAGAAAAAAAAGATGGAACATCTACTCAACCGTATAGAAACCAAATCTACAACCATGTACATGCAAATCCAAAATCAAAAGGTGAAGTTAACTAAAAAAATGAGGTTACGATGAAACAACATTCTACTCATCGTACACCTCTGTCGCAGGATTATCCTTAGATTCTTCTCTCCGGTGGTCAGTGACTGAAATCATGGTCTCTAGCTGGTCAGGATCAATGAAAACTTCATCTGTTGCTGACAAGGAACTCTTGTGATGATTCCCATGGTGCCTTGATTTAAGGATCCTTGTTAATACTTGCACAATGTCCCTCATGGAAGGACGTTTATTTGGTGCACGGTTGATGCATTTGTAAGCTACTGTTGCAACTTCACTCAGTTCCTTCACATGGAAGTTTCCTTGAAGGTGAGAATCCACAATCTCTTCCCACCCAACTTTTCCCTCGATGTTCATTGCTGCCTAATCATCCATCAATCACATTGGTTAGCCCACAAAATGAATATGCATGATGTTTTATTTCTTCACCATGACACTTTCATTCAACCAAGATTTGACGTTTTCATCAGACAGAGTCATCAAGTGGCCATTCTTGAATGGAAGTTTTCTCTTATAATGTGTGTTTAATGCATATCTTATTAGGTAGATTATTGAAGTTAAATTTCAATTCCAACAGTAAAACAATATTAAAAGCATCTTAAGAACCGTATTGAATTGCCTTGACAAGATTAAATTGTTAGATAATTTAGTATCGAGTTCATAATCTCAATGGATCTTCATGAAATTATGATCTCATCCAATCAATCTGATGTAACATGTATTCAAAATTTTAATTTACAGAAAAAAAGAAACTAATAACATTTTTAGTTCATCACAAGCGATCAAGAGGGACCATGATGATTCCTAACCACCTAATAGTTTCTTCTTAACAAACTCTAATTATTGAATTAGAAAGTGAAAATATTTATTATAACAAAAATAAAAAATCATATATAAATTAGACACACCAATATCTTTAACCAATATATTGATGTGACCCTAATAGATTTCTTCAAAAATTTCAGCCTAATTTTGAATGTTATCTTTACATACATATATAAGGACTTAAGCACAAGAAGAGAACCTAATCATTAGAGAGAAGAAACTCTCAAAATTTAAGTACCACTTTAAGTAACTCATTCTACTACTCCTAAGAATATACCTATGATTATGATTGTATCCACTAACAGTTATTCTCAGTGTGCTGTGGAAGGAGAGAAAGAGGTCTTACAAGCTCAACATATTCCATAAGACCCTGCTGAGGATTTCTGCCAGCTATAATTTCAAAGAGCAATACTCCAAAACTGTATACATCACTTTTCTTGGTGAATGTTCCTGAAGATATATATTCAGGGTCAAGATAGCCAAAGGTACCCCTAATTGCTGCATGTTTGTCCACCATCTCTTCTCTTGAAAGTCCAAAATCAGCAACCTGCTTGATTCAACATTAACAATTAAACATTCAGAAGCATCTGACTCTGAACGAATTTGGATTCTTTGCTGAATTTTTGGTATTGTTCCTATGCTGTGCCTTTAAAATATATCGATTGACATTGATTTTAATATACCAACATTAGTGTATTTTCAAGAATCGACACAAGACAACACAAAAAAAAATGACTAGAGAATCTGGACTCGACTCTTGACAGCAACAACTGACAATGACAAGTTGCAATGCTACTGTATAGTGTGTGTGTTTCTTGCAATTTACAAGCTACTTTTTTAGTGATAAAGAAGATGGTGGATGAGTAACAAGGACATACCCTGGCTCGCATGGATTGATCCAACAGAATATTGGAAGATTTGATGTCTCTATGGATTACAGGGGGAACTGCCTGAAGTGAGAATACAAACAATTATAGCAATATATAAGTTATAGTTTGATTGGTTCAGATCACATGGAAACTTACCCCATCATGAAGATACTCCAAGCCTTTTGCCACATCTAAAGCTATGTTGACCCTCAAATCCCAGCACAGTGCTTCATTCACATCACCTGAATATAAAGACAAGAAAAGCATATTGTTCAATCTATTATTGCAATCCGTGAACACATTCAGGGACCAAAGTTTGTATAGAAGAACAGTGTACACATGTCATTCAAAAGGTGAGATAGATAACTTACTACCATACAAGTGGGATGCCAAGCTACCATTACTCATGTATACATATACAAGCATATGTTGCCCCTTTTCTGCACAATATCCAACCAAATTCACCAGATTTCTGTGGTGTAACCTTCCCAACAACATGACCTGAGAAAAAGTAGAACATTAAAAGTTGCAATTGGAAATTACCCTGGAGTGAAAAGAAAGGCGGTGCAGAAAATGAATGAATATGATAAGGACTGTAAAACTGCAATATCATCTGTTACTCCAAGAGTCCTTAACTTCATCTAAAAGTAACTGATTATCTGAAGTAGCACAGCAGAAACAACATAAACTTTTCTTATTTATGATATTGATGATGTGGCCAAGTAATGGAAAATGACAGTGCCAACCAACCTCTGTGTGAAATTCTTTCTCCCCTTGCTTAGAATTAGTTGCAAGAACTTTAACTGCAACAGTCTCACCAGTAGACATCTGAGCTTTATAAACAGGACCAAATGCACCTTGTCCTATGACTGTTGTAAAATTATGTGTTGCTTTCTGCAAATCCCTGAATTTTAAATAAAACATTCAATAGATAGAATGACAAACATAGTCAAACATTTTTAATTTCACTTGGTTACAATTTGTAGTCACTAAAAATTAAAAATATCCAACAAAACAGTTACTTTTGGCTTATCCTAAAAGACAGATATGATAGGTTAAAACTTATGTTTGCATATGCATTTATGTGGCAGATGCATATCAAGCATGAGTCCAAATGTTCATTCCTAAAGCCGAATCAAGCATCTATTTTAGTATGTACAATGCGTAGTGGTATTAAAACTAAGGCTCCAAACTGTTTCAACCTCATAACTTGAGTCTATTTCTGATTATAGTATACAGATCATGATGATTCAAGAAGCATGCATTGCAAGTTTAAGGGACCATTTTCATATTCCATTATGAGAAAATAAAGAGAAAATTATAGTTCTTAGACTCAAGCAGACTAAAATAGGCTCTTCCCAAAACAAAAAGAAAGGCAAATGAAGGCAAGTTCATATAAGTAACAAACTCTTACTTGTATGCATATTCAGGTAGGCCAGATGCTGGGAGCATGTTACCACTCTTCTTAAACCCTTCAAGCCAGAAGGGAAGGCCATACCTTCCAGACTTTATGGGTGACTCTGGACCTAAGGTTGAGTCTGATAGAATGGTGCAAGAATCAGCACCATGTGCGCGGATTGGAATGGTAGCAGCCCTTCTAGAACTGCTATTGCCTATCTGTGAACGCTTCCGATGATACCTGTGGCAGAAGAATGCAAAAATTGCCAAAACCAGTCCAATAACTACCCCTATGGAAACCCCAATAACTATCCCTATTGACTCCTCTCTCATTTCCTCTTCACTTCTTTGCTATTGTTCCCTGTTGATCTTCCAATCCATTCATAGGTCTGCCAAAAGATACATAAACAAACCACAAATCATACTTAATATTTAATAACATAGTAAATGTTAATCTTGAAACTTGATTTGTTAGGCTATTACTCCTGATTTCACTGCCCCCAATAAATTCTTTTCAATACATTGTTGAAAACCACAACACCGAACAAAAACTTAAAAGCTACAGCTTGGCAAAACTGTGTTGAATAACAGAGCAAATTGTAAAAAATACTAAATGAAAGATTTAAGATAACAACCCAGCTTGTAAATCCGAAAGGTCAATTAGTCAAAACAACAGTTATACAGAAATCAAGGAATGGCATCAAAGGCCAAAAAAGGTGAAGCAGCATAAGGGGGAAAAAATACGCAACGAAAATGGAGTTCAATTCAATATTTTCCCCAAGTGAAATATACATATTTTGCTTTTTCTGAATTCTTTCTACAAGAAAAATCTTACTGTGCCAAAAGAGAACACAAGAAAATTTTGAGATTTATGAAAAACGACTCAACTCTTTGATCAAATGACAACGCTAAAACAAAACACCCTTACAAACATTGCCCGACAGATAAAAAGCACCGACAGCAATAACGTTAGGCCAAAAAAAAATGTTCTAGAAAAACGCGTACCATGTTGGACCATAAACTCACCAGTTCATATAAGGTGAAAAAACAACAGAGGTAACCCTGAGACAGTCACAGGCTTTATTTAGCACAGAACTCCAAAAACAACAGTGTGGCAGTGAGAAGGATAAAAAAAGTGAAGCAAATGTGAGTGAGAATCCAAGAAGGAAGCTGAGAGAGAAGAATTGAAGAATCTGATGAAGGTGGAGCAGGAGCTGTTGTTACAACAACAAAAGCATAAAGTGCACACACACACACACGCACTTGCGAGGGATGTTTGAACTTTGAACAAGGTGGACATGTGGGACCCTCACTTTGTTGTAGATTCAAACTTGATCATTTGCTGAAGGACCCCTTCTGTTCATCCATTGCTTTTTCTCTCTTCTGCACAGCAATGATTGGTTCCACGCTGTGAACAAACCGCACCGAAATTTTTGTGAGTGTTGTATATGCATGTATGCTTGCAATGCCCACATCATCACGATATCTTGTTTGATTCTTGCTTACTTGTTCTGGACATGATGTATGAAGTTCTCACTTCTGTTTCTTCATATTCATGCCACCTTGATTAGGTAAACTCGTGCCCCTTGGAAATTTTCCAGCGACCAATGCTAAACCTTTTCCAAGCATCTTTCTTCTTTAAAAGCGTCAACGAGTTTAATTAATGATTATCCTTTACGAAAATTCTTATTGGATAAAATGTTTTGTTATATCATAATATTTCTCTCCATTTTTTTTAAATCAATCGGTCATTTTTAATTACATATTAATTTGATTTTTATTATAAAGTTAAAGAGTATCCCTTCTTTTTATCTTTATTTTTATTTTTTTTAATTATAAAATAAAAATATTATTACTTATTAAATTAATATCGTGTCATATATGGAGTAGTAACACTAATAATGTTTCATGTTATTGTAATGTTAAGTTTCATTATTTTAGTCATAATTTGATTCATATATTTTTATTTTTTTTAAATTTAGTTCCAATATTTTTAAAATAATATAATTTTATTTTTGTAAATTGAAACGAAATTTAGTTTTTGTATACAAATAATTATATTAATATTGATATTTTTATTAAATATTTTTAATAATATTAAATTTATTTATATTTCTATTTTACATTAAATTTTATTTAAAATTGTTTTCAAAATTTAAATTTATTTGTTTTAAATTGTTATAAAATTGTTTAAAATTATTTTCAAAATTTTCTTTTGAATTTGTAAAATTATTATTTTTAAACTCATTCAAACATTTGTATAAAAATATTGAATTTTACACATTTTAAAAATATATAATTATAAATAGGGTTAAATATGTTTTTAGTCCCTAAACTATTAGCCGTTTCTGGTTTTCGTCCCTGTTTCAAAGTAAGGTACAATTTGGTCTTCATTCTTTTCGAAAACTTTCGTTTTAGTCCTCGAAAACTAAACACTGTTTAAAAATTTTGTCCTCATTTAGCAACAAATGAGGACTAAAACCAAAATTCCGAGGACTAAAACGCACGTTTCGAAAAGAATGAGGACCAAATTGTACCTTACTTTGAAAGAGGGATGAAAACCAGAAACGGCAGGGACTAAAAACATATTTAACTCTTATAAAAATTATTGAAGTTTGCATATTTTAAAAGTATATAATTATTTTAAATAATTGAAAAAGTTTATAAGTTTATTTTATTTTATAAAATGTAATCGATAAACAAGTTTAGCTAATTAAAATTAATTTTGAATTTTTTTCTATTAAGATTTCTTTGTATTAATAACTTTAAAACAATTTTAAAGTATAAATTTAAATAAAAATATTTAATAAAATTTTAATAAAAATATTTATATAATATTTATACAAAATTAAATTTTGTTTTAACTTGAAAAAATACGAAATTGTTTAATTTTAAAAAGAATTATGACTGAGATAAAATAAAAATAACAAAATTGAAACTAAGGCAATATATTTAGTGTGATAATGACATGTAGCATTGTCACTATCATATCACAATGTTGTTGTCACATAGTATGTTGTGAGCTTAACACGTCACAATTTTTTATTTTCATGAAAATTAAAAAAATATAATTAAAAAGGTATTAAAAAATTAAATAAACAAATCACGAATTGACACATGACACTTTTTGCATATGATATCAAATTTTCCTAAACAGGAACTAAATTGAAACACATAAAAAATAGGGTTGATTTGAGATTTCTCCCAAAAAATGATGATGAGTCACGTGATCTAACCAATGTTTAGTCGAAGTTGAAATTTGTGTTTTCTTTTAAATTTTAATATATTTTGATTTTCAATTTTTAAAAATAATGAATATAGTCTTTTTAATCCAACAACATATGAATTGTTTACATAATTTATCATATTTCAACTCAAATATCAACATGAAATATCATTTAATATATAAAAAAGATCTAACACGATTAAACGAAAAGAATTACATATATTATTTTTTAAGTTTGAGATCAAAATGTATCACAGTTGATTCCAAAAACAAAACATGTGATTCTCCCTGAACCTCACTAAGTTCATTCTACACCTCCCAATTTTTTCTAATTTCAACTATACCCCTAACTCTACCTATGTGAGTGTCAGTGAGCATATTTTGGTTTTCTAAAGAAGTTGACCCATCCAATAATAAAATTGAAAGTTTTCTCTACCGCATCTCACCTTAAACTCGCATCTCACCTGAAACCTACACCCCTGGAGTCTTTCTTCTTTCTTCTTCGCGGTCCTCCCCTCCTCCCTCCTTTTTCACAATTTTTTGAACGTGTTGAGTGGTCTTCCTTCCCCCTTCTTCCATCGTTTGTTCAGTATTTTGTGTTGGTACCGTGGTTGCAGGGTATGTTCTTCTCACACACTTGACAAACATCAACTTTTTCTGGCGTCCAGGTTAGTGATTTTAATTTCTGATTGATCTTTAGTATATGTTGGTGGGAAAAAAATGCTTTGTTGTATGATAGAATATATGTTTGTACTTGGTTGATCTGCGCTTAGTATGTTTTTTCTCTAATGTGGGCTGGGGGAGAGTTGTAGGCCAAACCACACATGGAATTGTGGTTTATGACCGCCGCACTTAGAAGTGTGGATTAGGTTGTGCCGTAGTTGGATCTTTGGGGATGGTAACCGTAGGTGGATCTGCGATTGGTTTTTTGGAGGTGCATGGCCGAGGATCTGGGTTGTCCGCAGTTGGAACTGTGGCTCAGGCGAACCGTGGTTCGATCTGCGGTTGTTTCTCGCTCCAAACGGAGTTGCGCGGGTTAGGGTCTGTAGGTCTGGTTTGTTTATTAAGTTAGTATTTTTTTTATGTATATAATTTTAAATTTTTATATATTATTTATTATGTATATAATTTTATTTAATTTTTTAATTTTTCTTTATGAATTTAGATTTTTATTAAATCATTTATTTAATAATTTTTATTATCCGCAATTTTTTTCTTACTTATTATTTTTTTTGTTATTTGTAATTATTTAAGTAATTTTTTTGTTATTTTATTTAATTAATTATGATTTTATTATTAATTGTAAATTATTTTATTTCTTATTATTTTGTTTCAATATTTATTACTATATAATTATTTATTATACACAGTGAACTGCAGTTTGAAGTGCACCACTACTTAACCACACTTCGAAGTGTGGTTATGGTTTTTAAGATGCACAATAGAAACGTAGTTGGAAGTGCCCCACTGCTGAACCACAGATCGAAGTGTGGATAGGTTTTTAAAATGTGCGACAGTAATGAACCACAGTTCAAAGTGCGGTTAGGTGTTTAAATATTAAACTAACCTCTCGAAGAGCGACCACCTTCTTCCTCGTTCAATATCCACGGCACCACCAACACGCAGCACAACCACTACACTCTATAATCTCTCAACTCTCAACCCAAAAAACAATCAAACAGTGACAATGCTACTGTGATGCAAGTGAAAAAACTGCAAGAGAGAAAAGGGGTGCATGCATACTAGGATTTATACCATCAGGACAAAATTTGGTGGTTATGAGGATGGTTGATAGTTAGGACATCATTAAGTCATTATTAATTTTGTTTTGACTTTAATAAATGAAGAAAAAATATGTAAATTTGGGGGTGCAGGATGAAATAGGTGAGTTGCAGGAACATATTTAATTCTTTCTCTTATTATAGTATTAAAGAAAAAAAATATGCATTATTTTATTATTAAAAGATAGTTTAATAAGAGTTGAAGTGATCTAATAGGAAAAAAAAAATATTTCCAAATTAGAACATGTTTCATATTTGTGGAAATCACAAGTACTAATTTTTCACTAAGACTTGTTTGAATATGTGAGATAATAAGTTAAATTGAAATAGTAGTTGTTATTTCCGTAGTATAGTTCAAAATGCATTACACACTGTTTGTGTGCATGAATGACTAAGATATATAATAGTTTATGGCAATAAAATGAGAATAGAAGTTATGAAGCAACTCCAACTCTCAACCTAACACACCTAAATTACCAAATGTGATATGAAATAAAGAGAAGTGATGAATTGAAGGAGAGGAATTTAATTTGAGGATAAAAGAAAATGAAACCCACTTCTGACCTTCAAGAAAATGACTTTGGTCAATTCTTTAGACATTGATTAGTTAACTAAGATTTCGGGTCCATGCCTTGATTAATGAAAAATAAATTAGACTTCTCTCTTATGTCCTATTCTATTGTTTTTCTTGTGTGTTACCTATCTTTCTAGGGTTTATTTCAAGTTTTTAACATACCCTAATTCGTATACGTATTTTTATCACAATCATAACCATTTACAAATTAAAGTCATGGCATTTCATTGTGATAATAACCCATTAGGGTTTAAGAATTGGAACCTAAAAAAGTTGTGACTTTTCCCTCAAACATTGAGAGGACATTTCAATCAAACCCTCTTTATGTATTAACATTGACAGATTTTGTGAATATTCTTGGTGGTGCGCACGTCTTTATGTACATTATTTTGGCAGTTTTGCTCTTCAAATTTTCAAAGTATATAGAATATTATATAGTGTGGATCATGGTATCAAGGTGCTTTTCACGAAGAAAAAAATGGCTAATTCGAGGTTTGAGTGTTAGCATTCTAGACTACTTAGAAGACAAACAAAAAAGAATGAGATTTATTTTTTATATAATAAGTAGATGCTTGGATTTAATAAAGACCGTTTTTCAATTCAATGAAATTTTTATAATAGGAAATAAATTATTTTAACTAAAAACAAATTAAATTTTTAGGGAATTTTTGTATTTTAACTATAACCATCTATAAAGATTTTTAATTTAGACACGTTGAAATAATTCTAGAAATTGAAGAAAACCAAATTCATTGACACTAAAAACATTTTCCTTACTCTCTTTTTATGAAAAAACTTAATTTTTAAAATGCATCAAAATATAAACTTCACAAAATGTCTATTTTTGGAAGAAAAAGATAGTTAGTATATCTATCAAAAAAAATTGTTAATCCAAAGGTTGTCCATCCTTAATGTTAAAATTATAGGACTTATGTTACACCTCTTTGTTTTTTCTTTCTTTCATAAAGTTGATTTTTATATTAGTTTTTTTATAAATAACATTATTATAAAAATATAAAATCTT